ACCCCGCACTCCCGCCTCGTCGCCGCCAAGCTCACCGCCGCCCCACAGACGGCCAACGCCCAGGGATGGTCGAGACCGGCATCCGCCGCGCCGTCTGCACCCATCTCCCCGGCCCCGTCGACGTCGAGCGCGAATCCACACCCGCCCGGCCCGCCACAACTGCCCCACGTCGGCAAGGTCATCCAGCCCCAGCCCCGCCCCTCTCCCGCCTCCGCCCTCAACGGCAAGCCCGCGTGGGGCAACGTCAAGCCCAGCCCCAGCCCCGACGCCCGCCCCGCCGCTGCGCTCTCCGACTTTCCTACCGCTGCGGAGGCTCAGAGTGCGTCACTTTATTATCCCATCTTATTTATTGTACCGATCGACCCGCAGAGGCCAGCGCCAGCCCAAAGGCGATCAAGACCGCACCCAGCCCGGCCACATCAGACGCGCCCAGCAACAAGTTCGAGGCAGACACCTTTCGCGGCGTCCATCTCAAGCCAAATGCCCATCACTGGGACGAGGTCTGTGCTTTATTTTCCTTGTCTATGTACGGATCTGATGCGCTGTACAGATGGTGGAGGGAGAGGACTCTGACGACTTTCTGGGCGGCGTGATCGAGTTTGAGGACGGGAGGCAGTACCAAGTCGTCGAATCCAACGAGCCCGCAGCAGCAGCAGCAGCAGCAGCCGCACCCGAAGCGCCGGTGAGCAAGGCCGAGCGCTTCAGGGACGACTTTGATCGCTCCTGGCCACGGCGACCGGCGCATCAACAAGAGCGCGCGCTGTTCAACGAGCGCAGCAACAAGCTCGAGCCCTGGTCCCGCGACCGTGAACGTGACCGCAACGGCGAGCCCGTCATCGACCTCCGCAACCTCAGCCGCGAGCTCCAGCCACACGCTCCCTCCGTACAAGTCCTCCCCCGCTCGCCCGTCGACCACCACAACCACAGGCAATCCCTGAGCCCGGGTGACGAAAGGCCTGGTAGCCAGTGGGGCCGCCGACGGACATCCTTCGCCAGCGATCACGAGCCGCCACCTCATCGGCAGCTCCCGCCTCATGTTGATCGTCAGCCGCCACCCCATCTGGGCGGCGACAGGCGGGATATGCCGCCGCCGCCTGTGCCCCCACCGAACAGGCCGCCCCATCAGCCTCTGTCGACACGCGAGAGCTGGACAGAACGCACTCCGGCACCTCCCTCTCGCAGGCGCGAGTCTTTTGCATCCCATCACACGCTCTCGCCCGATGTCCGCTCTGTGCACACACCGCTCTCTCCCGCGACTTCGACGGCGCCCGTACCGGCACCTGCACCAGATGATCTCGACGATGTGCGCAAAGCGGCCATGCACAGTGCCGCAGAGAGAGCGAGGATACGGAGGCAGCAGGAGGAAGAGGAGCGCGCGGCGCAAAAGGAGAGGGCGCGCTTAAAGGCGTTGGCGTTGGAGGAGAAGATGAAGGAGGCGGAAAAGGCCAAGGAGGACAAGGAGAGGGAGGAGAGGGAGAAGGAGGAGCGGGAGAAGGAAGAGGCCAAGGAAAAGGAAAAGCCAATACCGCCACCGGTGACGGCGCCGGGCTCGTTCAGTCGCGCTGTGCGACCGCGCATGCCGTCCTTTACGCGCGATGCGCCGCCGCCGCCAATGACACGCACGCCGTCACAACGGAGCGTGGCTCGTACGCCGGCGGAAGAAGCGTCGCACTGGCGCGTTCACGCCGGCCCACTCGCCCCTCGGCCCCCGCGTCCTGCGCAACAGCCTACGTCGCCAACGATCACTCGAGCCTCCCCCGTCATCGCGCAACGTCCAAGCGCGACTACCTCTCCGGTCATCGAGAGGCCGCCACAGCCGCCAGCACCCAGTACAAGTGACTTGTTCAGCGTCGCCATTGACGAGAGTGTCGAGGAGGTCGATTTTGCGGACATGCACACGCTTGTAGGCGCAGAAGGCACCAAACCCGCTGAAACTACAGAGCCCGCGAAGAGCGAGGAGCCGGCACAGCCGCAATCCACGCCGACGGTTATGCGCCGTCAAAGGCCCGTTGCGAGCGACTACTTCGACGCTGAGCCTCAACCTTCGCCTGCGAGCAAGAGCGACCTCGAGTCCACTTGGCGACGCAAAGCGCCCGAACCCACCCCCGCCCCAGCCCCTGTACCGGCACTTGTACCGCCCGCAGAGACAGAGCATCTTAAGCCGCCTTCCTCCCCGCGCGCCCCTCTGTCGCCTTCGCGCAGTGCGTTCCGTGAGGCGAGCATGTCTTCCTTTGAGGTCACCATGGCGCGTATCAAGAGCGGTATGGACGAGGCCCATGCGGCCGAGGAGAAGGTCCATCCACACGCCCATGTACCGGCACCTGGACCTACACAAGAGGCAACACAGGCGAACAAGTGGGTACCTCCCGCGTTGAGGTCGAAGCAGAGTGCTGCAAACGTTCCGACGATTTCGCATCCTCAAGTGCCACCGAGACCGGTGCCAGCATCGACCTCTTCTGGTCAAACACACCGCTTGAGTCCTCACGCCCAACCAGAACCGTTCGTGACCCAAGGCCCTCGCCCGCCTTCTCCAAAACCCGCCTGGAATGTCCACCCGGTCCACCTCCCGCATACTTCCCGCGCGCGCGAGCCTCTGTCCCGAAAACAGGTGAACCTGTATCAGCAGAAATCCAGCAAAGTCAGGTTCGATATCTTATCGTTCGACCCGCCCGTCGAAGGCATGAACGCGAAAGATCTCAGCGTCGTGCCTATCTTGTTCCGCACACCTATAGTTGGATCTTCGATCAAGGGCAAGATGAAGTACAACGTCAAGGTGCCGACGAAGAAGCTGGAGAGCGTTGCGCCGCCTATTGAGGAGGTCAAGCCTGCGACCACTACCGCAGCGCAGACGTCAAAACCTGCCATCCCGACGGGACCGAAGGTCAACCTCGGTGCTGCGAGGGCTACACCCGCTCCCGCACCTCCGCCCGCCCCGGCGCCTGGACCAATACAAAGACCGGCGCCGGACCGCGCATCGACAAACAACTGGCGTGAGCGCGCACCCGCGACCTCGACTTCCTTCTCAACGCCGCCAGCGGGGCTTGAGACCGTCAGCCGCTCCCCGCCGCCAGAAATGGCATCCACTGCGCCCGCTCCCACGTCCGCGCAGATCACGGCTCCGGAGCAAGCGCCCGTACCCGACGCAGCCAAGACGTCCCAGGCTAAGCCGAGATTGGCCGAGGGCGAATCGCTCGGGTTTTACAGACGCGACTCTGTCGGTGGGGCTAGTGGTTCGGCGAGGTTCGTCGTGAACAGTGAGCTGGATGCGGGAGAGGCAAAGGTCAATGGTGTGGTGGTCAATGGACGCAATATCACGGCTGGTGCAGAGAGCAAAGGATCGGCGCTTGTGGTTGATACTGTCGAGCACAAAGCGGAGAGCAAGAGCTCGGATGGCTCGGTAAGTGTCCGTTTACATCGTGTGCTACTCTTTCGGACTGACGCTGTGCAGTCTGACCAGGCTCCTTTGACACCGCCGTCGTCGACATGGCCCAAGAACTTCTCCGTCAAGGAGTCGCCGGCGCGCGCACCAGACCCTGAACATCTCAAACTCTTGTGGCAGCAACCGTCTGAGAAGCTTGAACTGCCTGCCATCAACTCTCTCAAGGGTATTGCGGATGTCGACATGCCCGTTGTCAATTTCACGCTTCAGGAAGTCAAGTCCGAGGACGGCGAGACGCCACCGCCGACGATGGCCAGTGCACCGACGGCACCGCACCCACGCATGTCGTTGCATGATGTCACACGCGCGTTCCAGCAGGTCCCGACGTCTTCACCAGCTCCTCCTAAGCCCGCGCCGTCGACTTCTGCTTCTGCCTCTGCCTCCACATCCACGTCTGCGCATACGACTGTATCGCCTGGCGGCGCGTCTTCAACACCCCTCCGCGGTTTCGCCCCGCCAGGTCCTCCAGGCGCTATGCGGCCCGCATACGCGGCGTATCCATCCCCAATGATGGGTCCCGCCCCGACGCCGGTCATGTACCCGATGATGGCGCCGAGCCCGGCACCAGGTCCGCATCCGCACGCGCCACACCAAATGGTGAACGGTCCTCAACCGATGCCCTATGGACAACCGATGTGGGTGCCCGTACCAGGTCCACAAACGCCTAACATGCGTCCGGGACCTATCCCCTACCCTCAACCAGGCTCGTACGTGTACGCGCCGGGTCCTGCTCCGCCTGGAATGTACCCTGCACCAGGGCCGCCGCCACAACAGCAGCAACAGCAGCAGCATCCTCAACAGCCAAACGGTACGCAGGGCAAGCGCGTCGTCAGCGGTCCTCAAGCGCAGATGATGAGTCCTGCGCTTGGGCATGCGCACCCCCCGATGTACAGCGGGAGCCCAGCTATGATGCACGCTCATGCGCCTGGTGGGTTCGGTCCGCCACGGACACCTGCGCCCGCGCCTATGGGACCGTACAGCGCGCCGATGATGCATCATCCGGGAGGTCCACCACCTGGGCCATACGGCACACAGGCAGCCTATGGGCCTAGGCCGCCTACCTGGTGAAGAGTATCTTGAACAGTTTCAGGGGGGTTGAAGGGGTGCCAGTGGGGGATGTGAGGACAGATCCGGCTTGAATGTTCTTGTTATTCCATTTGCTCGTTTTCTTTTGTAGTTTGTTTGTGCTTGAACAATGACTCTTTGCTCGCCTTTGGACATTTCCGAATATCCCCGTCAACATCGATGCAGCCGCCTATATGTGATAGTGAGTGCTTTAGCTCTGATAGGTGGCGTGTTGGCGCATGCGAGGAATATAACATGATCCCGTTGTACTGACGATAATGCCAATCACCTGCTGGTAGCTGAAGCTGAAGGGATGGATATAGGAGATGGTTACATGGTACACCTAAGAGAAAGACGGAAGATGCGCGGAGCAACTCCTTGATTAGCGATCGTAGGGCAGGCTCGACAGACGAATACTTGTTCGCTGGCCTGCACGATCACGTGCATATTGCAGGAGTCCGTCACGGTCCGAACTCTTCTTCGCCCAAGACCATCATCACGCCAGTGCTCTGACTGTCGCTCATTCACATTTCTCATCCACGTTCGCTTGTTCCGATCAATTCAGCATTGGCTTCCTCAACGCTCGAAGTTCGGAGGTCAAAATACTCCGGGTTCACCATACCACGGTGGTCAGCATACGCACAAACGCGACACCCTCAAGTGCCGACTCCGAACCTTATGACGGCTTGGCCTCATCTCCGTTCACGTTTGGATAAGACACATCGTGCACCTTGCGCACTCGCTCGTACTATGTCCGCAAGCTAGTTCTGCGCGCGCAATCTCATTGATCTTCACCTCAACGCCTCTAAGCACGCCTTAGTCTTCAGCTACTCCGTATGCAGGTTGCACGCGTGTCGCCTGCTGTGCCGTTGCCGAACTGACGCTTGGAGTAGTCCCTGACAGGGAATGACAGCGCCGCATCTCGAGCCTTCGCCTAGTTCGCGGGGCATAAGCACTCCGAGTTACGCGTACAAACTCTTCGTATTTAGAGAGAGGAGGGGTGGCTGAAGTGCATCTATCAATCCATCTCCCGTCTCTCGTACAATGTCTGCTACTACTGAAGCCCGTCTGCGAGTTGCAATCTGGTAAGTACCCCTTTCATCATTGCTCGAGTGTCTGTACCCATGACTTTCTAGCGGTGGCGGTATCGGCGGACTCGCTCTTGCCTGCGCCCTGTCCAAGGTCACAGACATCACCGTCGATGTATATGAAGCCGCATCCGAGTTTCAAGAGATCGGCGCTGGTGTCATGCTGCGACCTCGCAACCTGCGTTTCCTCACCGAGCTTGGGCTCATGAACGAGATAGCTGCTATCAACGGCCGGTCCAGCGAGAAGAGAGAAAGCGCGGGTATGTCTTTGAACCAAAATGTGGATGTAATTGCAGTTGATGCCGCATTACTAGAGCCTGCCATGGCGTATTACAGGGCATAAGGCAGAACTGGATATGGCAACACACATGGTCGAAGGAAACGGTACGCACGTATCGGCCATTCTTCTCAATCGTGCACGCTCAGATCGAAGGAAGGGAGTGTGATGATGCACCGCGCTGAATTCCATGGCATTCTCCTCAGCCACATTCCCAAGGACATAGGACTTCACAAGTTGAAGCGTCTCGTTTCATACTCAGACCCCGCGGATGACGGAGCTCTCGTACGCCTCTTCTTCGCTGATGGCACTCAAGCTACCTGCGATGTTCTCGTGGGTGCGGATGGTATCAGGAGTGCTGTTCGTGCGACGATGCTGAATGAACTCGCGGAGAGCACGGAGGACAAGGCGCATGCCGAGAGACTACGCGATCGAGTCCTTCCGCGCTACAGCGGAGTTGTCACGCATCGTATCGTTCTCCCGAGGGAGAAATTCTCCCAACTTTCACCTGACAGCACAGTATGGACCATGGGGAAATTGGTGAGTCGCTCCGAAGTCTTGTTCGATTCCTTCTAACACCGGTGTACAAGTACTTGGGTGATGGAGTGGTGCGTTTCTATCCCTCTGTCCGTCAAATTTGACGTTGATGCTATGCATCCCAGTTCATCGTCACGTACCCTGTGTCTCAAGGGCGTCTTCTCAATGTCGCCGTGACCACCGTGAACTACGATCTCGAGTGGACACTGCACCCGCATCCCTGGGTCTCGTACCTCAAGGCTGAAGAGCTTCTACCGCTCTTCGAGGGCTGGGCACAAGAAGCGCGCGGGGTCATTGCGGTGAACACTGTACTCATTGCGCGTCAGTTCTTCAACTGATCGATCCCCTATAGGGACTGGAAGGTGCAGGGTTGAAGAAATGGGTCATCAACGTCGTCAACCCTCTCGACGAGTGGTCGGCTGGTCGGGTTACTCTTCTTGGTGACGCTGTGTGTAGCACCTCACCATCTACATCGGTCCAATGTACAGTTACTTACACTGCGTGCTTTGCCAGGCTCATGGGATGGTGCCCTTTCAAGGTGCCGGCGCAGGGCAAGCGATCGAGGATGTGCACATTTTGTCGACTCTTCTTTCCCATCCGCGCACCACGCGCCAAACGGTTCAACACGCTCTTCGCGCTTATTCGGACGTGCGCGTGCCTATCGCCGCAAAGTTCTTCGCGGCATCGCGCAAGAACGGCCTACTCATCACCAACACGAAGACACCACTGAGCGATTGCGCCGCCGAACTACGCGAACTGGCCGATAGTGCCTGGTGCTCGAGTCACCCCGAAGTGGAGAGCAGGCGCGCTGTGGAGGAGTTCGAAGCGGCTCTTGTGGGTGTAGTCTAAATGAGTTATCGTTGAATATCCAATTCCCATGATGTCCAGGTACAATTGCATATGGAACACACTCGCGAACAATGTTATACAGCGCATGTTCCAACTTCCATCCTAGCAAAAGCAGTCTTACAGATATCTCGTAAGTTCCCTCAAACTGGAGGAGGCGAGGTCACTTGGACCTCAGGCGTCTCTTCGTCAGCATCGTCCTGTTTAGGGTTCATCCAGCCCATACGTGCGACAATATACTCCTGTCCGACAACCTCTACACCCACGCGGAGTGCTTCCGCCACAAGGTCCTCGACCCAGTCGAATTCGTCCCATACGTCCAGCCATGCGCCTGGAACGGCCTGGGTGATAGTTGTGTGTGTCAAGGAATGCGCAGGGTCATTGAGATAGAGCAAGAACTGTAGGTTCGTGATGGTCTTCGACTCCGAAGATGCGGGCGTGGATGCAGCGGGAAGGGTGACCGTCGTCGTGTACGGTTGAATGCGGAGATAGACATATACAGTTGTAGTAGGATTTTGTGCAGAGGGCGCAGGTGCAGACTCGGGCGCTTTGTTTGATTTGACACAGTCTTCGATATCCGTCTAACGTTCGTCAGCACCGAGATAGAGTATGAATGGATCGCGGTATTTGCCTGTGCGAGCTTCAGTGCCGCTTCGAGCCCCTCGACAGCGTGCATATCGCGCTTGCCGCTATCTGCCGCGTCTTCCCTGGGCTTAGTCTCACCGCCCTTGTTGACGATGAGATCGCCGCCTTCGACCTGCTCCATTACCTGGCAACAGGGTCAATTCAGGGATGAAAGGACACAAAGGGAACGAGCGTACGCGCGCAAGCGATTTGTAGACAAGGCTCTCGATCCCATCGTATCCTTGCAAGTCATGGCTGAGCCACACTTTCAATACCTCGTGTTCCGAGATGGGGGGTGCAACGGTGTTGAGGATATCCGTGAAAGCATTCAAGCCAACACGGCGCAGTTCCTCGAGACGTGCAGCGCCTGTACTGGGTTAAGATGTGATATGGATACAGAGGGCGAAGCGGCCTACCGAGCTGATCGAGCTTCGCGTTCTTTGCGTACTCCAACACGCCCTCGCGCCATTTGGCCGCCTGCTCGGGCGCCGGCAGGTTCTTTACCTGCTCGTCGACGACACTGCGGGCCTGCTGGAGAGCCGTGCTCGCCGTCGACCAGACGCTGCCCCAGCCCCATCCGCCGCCGCTGCCGCCGGCGTTCTTTGTGGCGGCAGAAGGCGCGGAGGGAGATGAATCGGGCAGACGAGAGACGGATGGGGAAGGCGAAAGACCTTTGCTAGCAGGCAGACCGCCGACTTTGACGCGCTCCGTGCTCTTCCTCAGACCGGCGGGGCCGGGTGTGCCGGCGCGCGAGGGGGCGCGCTCGATGTGCGTGCGCGTCGGTTCGGCGCTCTTGGCGGTGATCTCGTCAATGAACGCGAGCACGTCCGCCTCACCGCCAGTCCCGCCAGCCGCAGTTGGCTCGTTTGTGGACGGCGGAGGCTGATCGAGATTGTCGAGATTGTCGAGAAACTCGAGTGCCTCTTCTTGCTTTGATTTGTGCCCGTTCTTTGACATTGTGGCTCGAGTTGTGGATGTGGCCATCAAGCAAGGTTCGGGCCCTGGCTATAAAGCACGCGTGCGAATCGAGCCTCACGCGCCCGAACTTTACCCCGCGTTCACCTCCTTCTCTGACCACCACCATCATGGCTAAACGCAAACGCGAGCCGACTCCGGAAGAAGAGAAAGAAGAGGATGGCGAAGAGTTTGAGATCAGTGCGTCTATCAACACACCGCATACCTGATCCAATCTCACATTCTCCATCACAGACGTTATCGACAAGGTACGGTGTGTCGCGGACGAGGATGCTGGTTCGGTGTGGGTAAGAAGGTTTATCGCCACCGTCATGAACTTATGCTCACTGCTTGCTATATGACTGTAGCAATATCACGTTAAGGTATGTCTACGGCTATCGTATCCTCAACATCACTGTAACGTCTGGTTCAGTGGTGTGGATATCCAAACTCCGACGTATGTATGTCATCAAGTCCGGACGTGCTACGTGCCGACTATCACGCATAGGATGATACCTGGGAACCGCATGAAGGACTTGAACAGACCGTACCGGACCTCCTGGAAAGTACGTACTTCATGACTTCGAGAATTCGCAGCGCTAACTATATATCAGGGCTCTGGCATGAGATCGACCCTAAGAACGAGGATAAGGACTATAAAGTTGGTGATGTACTCACACCAAGCCCCGAATGGATAGGTACGTTGCATAAATCACGACGGGTATGTTTTACCTCTGACGTCCTGTATAGAGAAAGAGATCAGAGACTCGGCTGAGCGATGGGACGATACCCTGAGAGAGAGAGCCAAGAAGGCGAAGAAAAAGGCGAGAAAGGCAGAATCGAAGAAAGAGGCGAGGAAGAAGAAGGCTGGGAACTTTGACAACGAAGATGATGAAGAGGATGTCGCTTTCGAGGTAGGCATGAGTGTTACCAGAACATATCACACATATCACGATAATGCTTACCAGACACTCACCTGTCAGGTCAGGAAGGAGGAGGGTTTGCACAAAGACAACGAACGTTTGCGCTCGCAGAAGAAGAAAAGGCCCGGAGCGTTCGATGTCACTAAACATCTTGCGGATGATCTAAACGAAGGGGTCCGCATGCGTTAAACTTGCTCGCGATATATGCCATGCTGATTTCTTTTTCAGGCCAAGTCTGCTAGCGATGTTGGCGAAGCCAGCGATGAGGACTCTGATACTCCTCTAGCGTCTCAGATGCCCAGAGCATCTAGTGGTTCAAGGTTTGTTAAGAAGAAAGAAAACCCATACACTCTCGAGCCCAGAGCCGGGCCGTCCAAAGTCTCGGGTAAGCGTGTGGGCGCGAAACGCAAGGTTACTGGCGGCCGTGAAATGACGGCTGTGAGTCCTCTGGGCTATCCGCACCCGGTTGATTTGGGAGCTCAGTATAGACTCAGGAATCGGAAGATGAACGTCCGCTTACGAAGCTCAAGAAGAAGAGGACTCTCGAGCCTTCCCCGGCTACAAGCTCGGCTCGTGCTAGTTCCGCTGGATCTGCGGAAGTGATATCGGTATTCAAGTTCGTTTGGCGCCGCCCATACACACTGATACACTCTGTAGGCCAAGGGTAAGGGTAAAGCAAGAGCGAGGATTGTGTCTTCCTCTCCGGTGCCCGAAATACAGGTGTGACTTGCTCCGTTCTTCCTCGTAAGGTGTGAAGCTCAAACGCGATCAGGCTCGCCAACCTGGCCGGTCTAGGGCAGCTTCGCCTCGACCTGCTACGCCTCCGCCTATGTCTGATGCTGATGACGCGTCCCTCTTTGGCTCATCCCCGCACAAGGCGCCGCCCGAACTCATCTCTGCCCCGATGAATAATGCTGCTCGAGCGACTGCGTCGAATGTAGCGCAGGAGAAACCCACAGGACCTGTACCCGCTGGGGGATCCGGGCCCAGCCGTACGAAGCCTACTCGTCCCGTGCAGGTGATGGATTTGGGGTACACCGATGGAAGTACGCTCGGGACGAAGGCTGCAGTCATCCGCAAGCCGAACCCTTTGGCGAAGGCGGGCTTTCCGAAGTTGGCGCAGAAGCCACCGCTCGCTGTCAGAACAGGTTCGAAGACGGGCACCCCGTCTGGATCGCCAGTCATTTCCCAAGGCCCCCGCTCTGCATCTGGGACACCTCGCATTGCCCAGCAATCGCCTGTGGTGGCTCAACAACATTCATCCACTTTGCTTCAACAATCAGCGTCGGGTGCGAGCACATCTCCGCCAACTCAGTATATGGATGTCGATGAACCAATGGTCGCCTCGTAAGTGCCTAACCTAGAGATCCGACATTCACATGGCTCATCTCGCACAGCCCCGTTACTGGGAATGCAGAAGAGTTCATTATGAGCGCTTTGCAGCAACCGACCCCTTCTGTGCCTTCACTTCAGCCTGTACGGGCCTTGGCTGGAACGAAGATACCAAAGAAATGGAAGTGGGAGGGTGAAGCATTTGTCAAGCGGGCAGCATATCGAGCCGAACCCTTCGCGCGGGTGATGATATCGGACGCCATGCAACCGCGGGAGAAGGGTATGCGGCTCAACATCCTGTTCAAGACCACAGAGGGCGAAAGCCCGTTGAATAGCATCAAGTTTGAGAAGTTGATGGGCCGCTCTCAAATCTTACGGTCGTTTCGCCCAGCTTGTCAGGCTCCTAGCCAATTCGCACGCCTTTCTGCTAGTGGGGCCCAGGACGAGAAGGCGCTCGATGTGCTGATGCGCCACATGTCAATTCACGATCTCGGGTCGTACGCATTCATGCAGAACTCGGACGAACATCCTGAAGCACTTCTGATTCTCGCCCCATCCTCGCGATACGTTGCATGGGGCTTCGCGAACATCGGACCGGGCGGCAAACCTATCCCGACAATCTCGGAAGAGCTTGTGAAAGGCCCGTTCTTCGTCTTCGTGCTCCCTTGGAATATGAGTGGACAGAAGATCTCGACGTATAGCATGCGACCCACTGGTGTCGAGCTTCGCCGCGTACTCGAAACTCGCAAGGAGATTTCGCCGTCTGACCCAGTACCCAAATCGACGGGCAGGACGCTGCACAGAAATCCAGCACTTGAACGTGCGCGCCGCATCATTGGCCTCCCGGATCAGCTTCTCAAGTTCCTCGGAGACGGACGCCATCGACGTTTCTATGCAATCTGGCCCTACCCGAGCGACGGCGTATCCATATCTCAGAAGGTCGGCGCCGAGACGGTCATGCTACGCGACGTGCTTAAAGCCGTGAATGGGCAAGAGCACGGGCTGGAGTCCAATCAAGTCCGCGTGCTGTTCGTGCATGTCGGGAGTATAGGAACGCTGTCCGAATCTCCGCATATTCTCGAGCGCCGCAAGCAGCAACTTGTCCAAATATTCACCTACGGCACACATCATACTGTGTCGCCTACTCAATGGGGAGTGCGCGAGATATATGTGTATGGCGGTGCGGTCACATTCAGCCCTGGTCTTGTGAAGGACGCGTATGGCGCGGCGCGGCGTATTGCTGAGATGGCAGACGAGCACCCAATGTGGACAGCATTCATCAGTCCGAGCGTGCTCGCATTGGCCGCCTATGAAGCCTACGGCGAGAACCCAATCCAGAGCTTCGACGAGTACGTGACTTTCTCCATTAGCCTCTCACTCCCTGTCTCACGGATTCGCGCAGACATCCGGAGCGGTTCCCCCACCGGAAACTTCTTGAACTCATAACTAGTGGTCGACTAGCTATTTTACGCAGGCCTCCAACGCCTGTTCCCAACTTGAAGGATCACAAGGAGAGGGATGAGTGGTTTGCTTGGCATCGTGATATCGTTTACCGTGGCGAGCGCGACATATTGGTGGAATGTCTGCGTTGGTTCAACGCCCGCTACGAGCGGGAGTTTGAAAGGTTTCACAAGGACATCAACGTCACCAACGAAGAGAACATCCGCAGATTCGTGCTAGAAGAATTGGCGACCACTGTCAACTCCGTGATGGTCCAGCCGGCCATGATGGAGTCCGCTCGACGGTTCGTTGTGGTGTTGGGCGAAGGAGAGCACGCGGTGAAAACTGACAAGTGTGGGGTATGTCCTGTCAAACTTTATGTTGGGGAAGCATATAGACTAACCTTCAACTAGTTTGAGTGGGAGACGTTATCGAGATTCGGCTTCGGAGATGACTTCTGGCGCGAGGAGGATATGGCCGAGATGCGGCAGAGGTTATGGTGAAAATATGAATGATGATTTACTCTATTGCTGCCCTGCTTTATCCCGCTGTCTTGCTTTGTTGTCCCAGACTTGCTTATCGTACAGCACGTATAATCGTTGTTACTTAGGCACGGATATTCATGTAGTTGTTGGTCCTCATGTTTGCGTCATGGACCCGCGGCGTTTGCGCGGGAAGTGAACTCACGCTCACACGTGAAATCAAGATTCGCCTCGTCCGGAGCCCTAAAGCTGCAGCCATGTTGCTCTCACCTCCACCTCCCGTCCCGCTTCCGCATTCGCCTGGAGCTACCTAGGCCTTCCTGGTCGTGTACAGCGACGAGCATGGAGGCATTACAAGCGATCATCGCGGACCCTGCGTACCACGACTACCTTGCCATTCTGAAAGGCGCGCGCAATGGCTTCGTATACGGCGCCAAAGTGCGCTTCCCCCACGCGCTTATCATGGCTATTCTATTCGGTCGCGGAGAGTACGTTCCGGGAATGCCGGTCGAGCTGGAGAACGAGGCTGAACTCTCGTTTCGTGTAGCTGGCCGAGCCGCATAAAGACCATTATCCGCGCAACGCGGACACACGCCACGAACCTTGCGAAGTTCGTTACCCTGTATAAGACCCTGTTGCTCCTTCAGAAGAAGATCAATGGTGGAAAGGCTCGCAGTCACGATACCTTCTTCGCCGGTCTACTCGGTGGTTATGTCGTGTTTGGGGACCGTACCGCGATCAACGAGCAGGTACGCAGCTTTTCTGCCCGCAGCCCCTCGATGTCTGACGCGTTAGATGTGTATAGATCGTGCTGTACGTCTGTTCGCGCGTCGTCGCATCCTTCATACCGCGCGGTCCCTCTTCACGCCCCCCACCGCCTCCCGGCTCGCCCGCACGTCCTCTACCACCGGACTCGCGTTACTTCGGCGCTTTCGCGGCGATCTCGTGGGGTCTGGTGATGTGGCTGTTCGAACACAAGGGCGAGACGATACAGCCGGGCATGTACAACAGCATGACATACTTATACCGCGACTCGGAGCGCTGGAACTCGCTCAAGACGCTTTTCTGGCATAACACGTAGTCGTGATGGGAGCCCACCCGTTCGTGGCCTTTTTGGACAGTGTGCATACACGTCTATAGATCACTCTGCACATATGCGTAGTCTTACTATATTGATGTGCTTAATGAATCCTCTCAAAGGTCTTGGAAGCGGTCCACAGCTTCGCGCGACAGGTTCCCGGTGCTCCGAGAATAGCGGCGCGCCGCCGCCATGGGGCCTGTCACCTTCAGTAGAATTGGGAAAGCACTAGGCATTTATCTTCGGAAATGAACAGGACTGGTCAAGCGCCTTCCCAGTACCCAGCGTGCGTACATCGTATCTCGATTCTCCTAGGGACTAGATGGGAGTCGGAGAGAATTCATTGGAACGAGAAATGTATTTCGCGTTCTTGCGTAACATCACAGATGCAATGGGAGTGTTCGGTACCATGAGCAGGATCAGATGGAGCGGGCGACGCGGGCGGGCGTACAAGCAAAAAGAGACCCCGTGAGTGAGAGGGGGGGCGGAGAGCATGTGGGATGAGAGGGGACGGGGACGTAGACGGATGTGTGAAGTGGTATCATCAGCAGTCGAGGTAAAAGCGGAGGTAAGCGGGGCATGGGCGAGCGGGACATGACGGATGGACTGCCTCTACGAGTCCGGCAGATACACTACATAACAATACACAGCTTCTTCTTCGGGGGCTTGACGGGAGTGACGGGTGTGCCATTCTCGACAGCCTTGGTCTGCCTAAGCATGCGGACAAGTGTTGTGAACAGGCGCTCGACGTTTTGTGCCGTCTTTGCGCTAGTCTCCATGAACTCGCAGCCGAACTCTCGTGCCATGGCGGCGCCCTCGTCCCGCGAGACCTCGCGCTCGTACTGCTTGTCGGCTTTGTTGCCAACAAGCATAAATATTGGCTTTTGGCGCTTGACGCGCATCATAGACTGTCGGAAGACTTCGAGGCGGTCGAATGTTGCGCGGGAGGCGATTGAGTAGACGAGGATAAAGCCCTGCCCCTCGCTGGTGGGTTGTGTGAGCGTGAGAATCGACGAGTGTCAGTTATGAAGAGTCACATACCGAACCCATTGGTCACGGAGTGTTGCGTACTCCTCTGCTGACGCGTCAGCCTCTGTGAAGCGCCGGAGATGTGGATATCACTTGCCTTGCCCTGCGGTATCGATCACCTCTACGAAGCACATGCGATTGTCGACAACGAGTTGTTTTCTATAGGCATCCTCTATTGTTGGATCGTATGTCTACAGGCGACGTCAGTAAGCGGTGAGATAGGTGACGAAGAGTGTGTTACTCGCCTCTGTTGTTTAGTGACGGCGAGGTGGGGAGAGAGGCGTTCAGAAAGGGGTGGCGGGATACACCAATGCGTTTGACATACCAACGAAGCAGTTAAGCGTAAACTGATGTCAAGTTGAGTACGGCGGTACGATGGGGGTGACGTCAGAGTACACACCTGTACGGCGAGTGCGGTCTTGCCGACACCACCATCACCAAGGACTGCTACCCTCCAGCTGTCCATATCTGAAGAATCAAAGAGGATGAGGACGGGTGCGGGGCGAGTGTGGTGCACGTGCACCTTAGAAGGTCTCGAGAGAAGGAGAGGGAGTAGATAGATGTGCGGGTCTGTCGGGCGAGGCGTGAGCTGACAGAGGGCCTGGCTGGGACGGGGAGAGGACTGGCGTGAAGAGCAAGAGTCGGGTGCAGATGAGGCTTTAGCTGGGTTGAATTTCGAATCGCAGACGTCGTCGCTGGTCGTGCCGGGGTCGTGAGGAAGTGATGGGAAGCTTGACGGGTGGTGGTCGAGGACAAGAGGCAGGTAACGAGTGATGTCCGCGCGCCGAGGAGTCTGAGAGTTCCCGTCGCGGCCCTCATTGGCGCGCCCGTGCATTCTATCCTGGATTTCTATACTCTATATTCTCTTCCGCTCTGCTCCTGACCCGCCCTTGACCCGCGCACCGCCTGCCAGCTGAGCACTTGAGCACTCTCCCGTCTGTCCCGAGGCCGCCGCAACGTCGGCTGGGTCCCATTCCTGAGCCGCGAAATCAGCCCGATTATTCCAACCATCGGCTCGTTCCGAACGCGGCTTTCATCCAAATGCCCGGCGTGCGAGTGCGCTTTGTGGCTTGGCCGCTACCTCTTCCGCGCACCCTTTCCTTCTCTCAGAGCCGTCGCGCCTGTCCAAATACACCCGTTGTATACTGAATGCACTGCGAAACGCCTGGAGTTCAGCGTCTCTCGAGCGCGCGCACGACTATCGTGCTATTTCATCGGCCCGTTATCCATCTTCCCAGGCTCGCAGCTGGACACCTCCCCCAGTCTCATTGCGCCCCGGCCGTGCATCTCATCAACGAGAAACGATACGCGTACTTCGGCATTCTCTCGTCAGCAGCAGTCGTAAATCTTGCAGGGTACCTGCTCAGCCTCCCATGATTGTCGCCTTCCCCGCTGTATCATCTCGGGGCAGGTACCCCCATGTCAACGCCCACATGCGTCGCGGAAGCACACAATACGTCCGACTACAGCTCGCTGAAGTATCCTCTGGCATGTGCACGCTCGTGCATGGTTGTCTTCAACCTTCTGCATCTGGATGCGGATGTTCCTTGAACATCCCGGATCGAGGGGCGCTCTCATGGTGCAGTGCAACCCTTCGCTATAAGCGGTCGCCACTGCGACATTCCTGCCTTGTGTAAGCAGCCGATCTAGCGGCGGCAATGAGCAGTTGTCTGCCCTGTGATCAATTGGCGGGGATTCCGACCATCTTGGCCCACACCGTGACAGCGACTTCACCACAGAATCCCTCGCTGGAAGTTTGAACCGCGGCTCGTCTCATGTCACAATTCCTTTCGTATTATACATAAACCGCTTCATTCGAGCCATGCACTTTCGTCACAAGCGTCATGTACCATTGAGCATATCGCGGGCATCAGCGACTTTCGTCCGGGCAAGTTCTAGTCAAGCTATGCAGTTTCCCGCGCGCAAGGGTCTGCAGACCTGCGGCACCGGATCCACCACGCCCGTGAGCGTTTAGCAACGTCCACTTACCGTTTAGGGGTCGTACGTGGCCGCTGCCGGCGTCATACCTTGACCGTTCCTCTTCTACATACCCGCAACATTCCCCTCCGCCTTCCTATAGACCCAACTCTCTTGTTCATGGCCACTGCAAGTGCTTCTTGGTAAGCTCGTAGTTGTGTCCAATTCCAACCTCCCCCGTCTGACGATACAGACGATCCTCACACCAGCATGTGCTCCGCAGGACCTTCTCTTCGATCATTCGACGCAGTCCACGTCTCGGAAGATACCCTTTTGGGTTTCCTGACCTTCCTGACCCTGCGCTCGAGGTTCCTTCAAACGCCTCTAACTGCGGAAGCCCAATCTCGAGTCACGTTCTAGACTGGCAGGGGCGAGTGCCTGTGCATAATTGAAAGGGAGGCACACATAGCCCCTGAGCATAGGCGCCCATCCTCCATCGTAAGACCGTGATGAATCACTCCTTGAGAGGCTGAGAAGACTTTCGTATGGGCTGGTGCTCAAATCATGCCGCTCGGTTCACACCTGCCGCCGCATGCGCGCTTTGCCTTCTGTCGATAGGCTGTGCGATATGCTGCTGATGGATGCTTCTTACTGCGAGACGCTGGTCGCTGATCGCGATGAGCTCCGCCCGGGCGCGATGGGCGCGAGGTAGCCTCTACACCGGGTTGTGAATGCTCGATTGGAGGTGACGCGCGCACCAAACGGATGAGATGAGAGCGCAATCGCTCTTTGTTCTCCATCTGGCATCCATTTCCGGTCGGACAGAGTACAACTCAATCGCTCTCCACCTGCACACACTCGCTATCTCGACGATCTTTCGGGCACGTGCAATAATGGAATGGGGGTGAAACAATTGGATGTGTATGAACAAGATCTTTTGACTGCATCGTGTGATTCGTGGATGTGGCAAATTGCGCTCTCATTCAACTAGGATGGCTATTCGCAGCAATCAGGATGATCTGTATACCCATACCAGGATTACCTTCCAACGCCATGGGGCCTCTCCGCCGAGCTGACCGCAAGTGCAGGATGGCCGGCTAGCCCAGACGTGGCGTCTATACTACAAGGCCCTTGAACCGGAAATTACCACCGAATTTTGGCCGCAGTCGCATTCAACATCATGACCGCCGCAAAAGTCGTACATTTTTGTGAGAGGGATTGTCCGCTTGTACCGCTTACGACTGTTCTCATCACTGACAAGCACGGCATATCTTCCCTTAATCTCGCAAACAATCTCCAGCGCGTCAGAGCATGGGCGTTATCGTCACAAACAATAAGGGATGCGTCTCGACATCTGCTTCTCAGAAGTCACGTCCGGCGGTGCTGGCCTCTTGGGGTAACGAAGCTAGGGTATACATGAGCGCATGATATAGATTCTGTCTGATGCACGTACACCAGAAGTACCGCTAATAAGGACTGTCTCTTTCAATGGTCAATCTCATAGGCATACAGTGGAAGTGCTCCCTTGAGCCAATCTGCGACTTTTACGCGCGTCCGGACGGCCCTGCCGTCTGGTCTCGTGCTTTCGTTTTGCAAGTCCGGGTGACCAAGAGGGATGACTGGAAGAAACGTGGGGTACGTGGCACTTGACACCCGATCCCACTCCGACCTCACCCGCAGTTGGGGTTCTTCTATTCCGGCCCTTTGCCCATTATGTTGCTCGTGTAATAATGATTTCACTTGTTCATGACTGTCAGGACATAGCAGAGCAGTCCCACAAATACCTCCTGCCACAAGTACGGTCGATGTACGGCCGAGGGCTATGTGTTTCTGTACTAAGGGTGTCGCCGCAGTAGATGTTTTTATCGCCCAAAGTTCAAACGGTAAAGGTGTCGCGTCGGAGTGCCTCTCGATCCATGGGAGAAGTCTTCGAATATCAGTATTGCTTATTCTACGGGAGTGTGTCGTGGACACGTATACGCAAATGTTGCGTAAGTAGTCTGACCGACTTTGATTCTCTGTGAGAATTCCAGTAGACACACGCCGCATAACCTCGGTAGCATGCGAGCTCTTTGAATAGTTACCCGTTTTGAGATAGGCATGCACGCTTGTTGGGCGCAGCGGTTGACTAGAGCTTGAATGAAGTAGGCGCAACTCTCTCTCAAACTTGGATCATTGTCTCGTCAATAAGGACACATGCCTGAACTAGTAGGTAAGCCCAAGGATATAGAGTCGACGGAAAAGCGCTTACTGCGTAACTTGTGACCGTTGCGTTCTCAGATTGGCTTTATACTCATTTCGCGGATCGCGATCGTCTGCCACGGGCCGTCCAGGAGAGCGCCGCCCGAGAATAGACAATGCGGGACTCACAGACGCAGCTACGGTGGGCGATAGGCGATCCATTAGCTTAGGTCTCAAGCTCCAAGCCAAGGCGAACGGCGTGTATGACGAACTCTCGCGTCTTGTGCCCTCTTTCGCTCATGGAGTATGACTTTGGCCTCGGCGTGGTAGAGTCGGACCGTATCGTTCTGTCATGGAATACGGCGACTGATACCTATCTCGTGTTCTCAGCGATAGCCACACAGTATGAGATGCAACCTCGTGGTGCAGAGAGGGATCAGAGTGCAGTCCGCACGGAGAACCTGACTTACCAATTCGACGTATCGCGGCGATGTCTCTTGCGCCAGATGTCACCTCTTTGGTGCTATAGCCCCGTCCTTTAGCCAACGCCAACAGCGATTCTTCGAAGCTGCTGTCTGCGGTGTCGGATGTCCCATGCTATGTGCCCTTCTTCTTCGCGGGTTCGGCCAAGGTTTGCCATGGTGGTGATGGATGCTGAGCCCGTTAGACACTGCAAATCGCGACTGCGCCGCGTGTTCAGTTTAGTATAGAGGCGCTGAAAGGATTAGACTCCCTCGGACCTTCGCTGTATGCGAGTCCGACATCCGAGCCCGGGCGCACGCGTGTTCTTGGCTTCCATCTCACGCGGTTTCCTCGTTTCTGCTGTGGCACCACCGTGCGAGCCTGGCACATACCATGTCGTCAACTTCTCCGTGCTCATGCTTAGCACTATCGAGGTGCGGCGAGGTGCGAAACCGTAAAAAAGTCCTGCTCTAGCAGCAGATAATCGACGAAAGTCGCAGTTTCACACTCCGTAGCCTGTTAAAAAATCATCAGCGAGCTTCGGGTACTCACCGAGATGGGGCCGTACCTTCGCTGTCAAAAAAAGCTTCTAGGCCACGCAAACATACGGCACAACACCGCTGCTAACGGCGTTCGCAACATGATTGACAGGTTGAGGCCGCGTGCCTCCCAGTCGACGAAAAAGGCCAGGAAAAACAGTTCCATTGCACTTCGAGTCCGAGGTTCGCATAGCCTACGGACCATACATCGACCACATATCTTACAAACCCGTACGTAAACAAGAGAGAAACCCGAGAGGACGACGATGACCATGTATGAACGAAGAATGAGGGGGTAGGTTTCATGAGTGGTCGTCGCCCATGCGTATGCACAAACAAATATCAATGAATAAAGATGATTACATCCGGCGGCCCCGGGAAGGCCAGAGATACAGTATCGAATGTTTATATTCATGCGCGACGAGGAAAGCTGCGGGGACGAGAGCGAAGCGAGTAACAGACGAGAGCGTTGGGGCGAGCCGGAGTTCGGGCGCGGGAAAGACGCGTCGGTGGGGAAGACGCGTCAACCCATCCGACACACCGCCAATGTAGGATGTAGGGCGGATGCACCGCGTCTAGTAAATGAAGATAGTGTCGCCGGCTGTATATGCGAACGCGACGGAGCGCGTTCAGAGGTCCCGTCGGCAAAACTCGTCCTGGGTGAGGTTGAGGATGAATTGCATAGGCTTGCTCGACGGCGCGATGAGTTTGACCGGCTTCGGCTTGCCCGAGCCGGTGGTGGGTGATGTCGCGTTAGAGATGGACGCGAAGGGGCGCAGAGGTCGTGATACCGGGAACGACTGCTTGCGTTGGGGCTGCGGGCGAACGGGCATGGAACGGAATGCGCCGGCGCCGTGTGTCGGGGACGATGACAGCACGGATGAGCCTGAGGATGAGGAAGACACGCTCGAGAGCGGTGATGTCGGGCTGGCAAGCGGCGATGAGATGTGAGGGCGCGGTACAGTGTTGAGCGGGGTCATAACGGCGGCTAGAATTCGGTTTAAGTTAGCACGCCGCGTACAAGTGTAGATGGGTACCCGGAATGGCACTGACCCATTGCTTTTATGTTGTGCGGGGAAATATGGGATATACGTATGCGGGGTAGAGAGCGAAGGTAAAGAGCGAATAACGATGCTGGGGGTTTATATCCGAGCGAGTTCAAATGGATGCACTTCGTTGGGGTACACGCTGTGTGGCCTTCCGCGCCACGCCCCGTCTCCGGCTTCCTCCCACGAAAGTCCGCTCGCGTCATCAATACGCAGGGCCTTCGGCATTGCAGTCTGCCTTTGCTTTAGCCACCCGTCTGCCTCTCCCATATGCTCTCCATCTTGGCATGTTATTCCATTCTCGCACCACAACCTTCTGTTTCTGCTATCGAATATTCATTATCGGTCAGAACTTTCACACCTCTCTCCGCGCCGTGCACGCCGCGTGGACCCCAAGATCTTGTCTTGTCCGTTGGCGCCCAAGAACTGAAACCGCGCTCACCAATCTTCGACGCCCACTATCTCGTCTCGGACAATGTATTGCTTATCTTTCCATCTTCTCAAACACTCTTACCCTGCGCAGTACTTTCTCACCCGAGTACCTCGGCAATAGCCTCAACATTGTCGTGCTTGTCCGACAGCAGTGCGAGTTCAGAAGACTTGATCGCTGATATAGAGGATCCTGTGGCGACAGCGCGGGCTCTTCTCGACCTCGGAGAACATCTACCCAATTTCCATGGTCCTCTACTTACCCTTGATTGGCGCACGGAGGCTGCCCACGTAGATGTGCAGACAGCTCGGCCCTGGGTGTGGCTATCTTGACGTCTAGATGTTCTTCCACGGATCCAACATCTACACGATCTACCTTCTAGGAAGAACATGGCTGTGCGATATCGACCCAATGCGTCAGATGGCGGCATGTGCGCTCAGCTTGCTCTCTCGCTAAGCCTCACTTGCCTTTCGTCTGCCTGAAGATAGCATGTGTTTCATCGCTAGTCGTACACGTATCGCCAATCCAAGTCCGTAGCACGACAGTTGTAGATCATACGGTCGCACCGTGGTCACGGACCGTTTCGGTCGAAGGAGTCCAAGAAAGTTCGGCATGGGCTAGGAAGTCCCGTCGGCATCCAGATATGTGAACACCACAGAGCGGAACGTGAAAAGAAAGCTACGCTCCTGCATAGGCGGGTAGTATAGATACGGGTGCAATGGGTAGAATGACAAAAGAAAAAATGGCCCAGGGTCAAAAGGAGATGCCCCCTGCAAGGCTCGAACTTGCGACCTCAGGATTGCACGGTAATAACCGTTCATACGAAAATATGAGACCTGCGCTCTAGCCAACTGAGCCAAGGAGGCTTGTCTGTGTCTGCATAATTAGAACATATTATCGTTCGGCTGCGCTCGCGACGCGTCTTACTTTCTCGCTTCGACGCGTCCACTGTTTCGCGCCTTCATGTCGACAGTACCCGAGACTCCTCGCCGTTCTTCTCATGCCGTCCCATCGACGCCGGCAACATCACGCGTAGCGAATGCATCTATCGTTCAAGCTTCTCCGCACTATCAAACCACACGGCGGCATTCTCTTTATGGGACTGAGGACCGTGTCGTGATCGACCCCGGTTCACATATCTGGAAAATAGGCTTTAGCGGGGAGGGACGCCCCAGGGATGTATTTGCCATAGATGGCCTATGGAGTTTGCGCCGCGCGCCAGTTATTGCGGATCGCGAGGAGGAGGATCGGCTGCTTGAAGTCCGCATACAGGACAAACTGCGCGCCGTGTTCCATGAGTGAGTGCGTGTTCGAGACGATTGGTTCGCATCGGATGCGCCTTGACTTGGCGCTTGCAGCATACTCTTGACCGACCCTAAGTCTCGGAAAGTGATTGTAGTAGAACACCCTCTACTGCCACTCTACGTCAAAGACATGTTCGCGCGCGTCCTATTTGGGAACTTGCAGGTGCGAATGGGAAGCTCAGCGGGCTTGGCTCACTCGGCTCATCGGTTGTGAATACCTTACAGGTTCCCTCTCTGTCTTTTGCATCCAGCCATCTCCTTTCGCTTCTCGCCGTGGGACGAATCACCGGACTCGTACTCGACTGCGGTAACCTCGAGTCGACTGCATTACCGGTACGTGCCGTGCTCCACGCCACCAAGCTGCGCGCTCACGCCAAGTTGCTCAACTAGATATTCTCCTCCCGTCCGCTGTTTCCGCAGCTCAGGACAACGCCTCTGGCAGGCGCGCGATTGACCAACCATCTCCGAGCGCTTTTGCTTCTGTTCGGCACATACCTTCCGCCACCCACTTCCCTCAGCGGCGCAGCCAACATCCCGGCAGCCACACGATCCACTCGAGTGCCACAAGAAGTGCTGACCGATGCCGTGATTGAGGATATCAAGACTCGGTGTTGTTTCGTTGGCGAACCCTTCGACACATCGTCTGATATGCATGTCATGGGCACGCCGAGCGAAGAGGCCATGGATCTCGATCTGCCGCCAAGCGTCGCGCCGTCAGAGTCGGATTACTCTCGCGTGTCTCACGAACTTGAGAGCGCACCGGACTCGTCTGGTTTCTCCGTGGTTTCCCGTTCACAGGTTGTGCCACAGCGTACAGAAAGCCACCTCGAGGCATTGGCGAACATGTACAAGCGACATTCGACTGCAACAGATCTTCAGTTGAAGGTTACACCACCAGTGGCCCAGCAAACGGGCACTGGTATGGGTACACTCGTCATCCCGGGTTGGATACGCGAGCGCGGCGCCGAGGTTCTGTTCGAAGGGGGAGATGTTGATGAGAGCAGCATGGCAGAAATCATACTCGAATCATTATTAAAGGTAGCTCATCCTTTGCTTGGCCACGGCTATCTGACGTCCTAATTCGAGGCATCCTAGGTCCCTGTGGATTTACGACGCACTCTAGCCTCATCGATCCTGGTTACGGGAGGTACGGCAATGCTGCCAGGATTTATTCGCCGACTACACTCGGAGTTGCTCCGCGCTATCGCATCTTCCGGCTCGTCAGCCGCTCGGCCACCAATGCGGCCCGACCGTCCCCGCCCTCCCGCATACGACCGATACGCGGCCCTCCGCCCTCTCGTGCCGCACCTTGCGGTGCTCAACAACCCATCTCCGCCGCCGCCGACGGGTAGTCGCGG